TTTCCATTTTATTTTTTAATCAAACTAAACAATATGAATCTAAAGACCATTTTGTTTCTTTTCTGTTTTTGTTTAATTAAATTGTTCATTTGAAATATAAATATCAATATCTCTGCTAACTCTGTTTCTGTTTGTAGATCCAGTTGAAATATCAGTGATGGAGGGAGAATCACTCACTATAAACTCTGATCTCACTGAAATAATGGATTATGTTTGGATTCGGTGGATATTTGGAGATGAAAACATTTTAATCGCTGAAATTGAAGTAATGGACGACAGAATCGCTGTATATGATGATTATCTCGGGAGATTCAGAGACAGACTGAAGCTGAACAATCAAACTGGATCTCTGACCATCACAAACATCACAACTGAACATGCTGGAGATTATAAACTGCAGATCATTGTGTGAGAGGATATTTCAGTTTCTCAGTAAAAGCTTTCAGAGTTTCAGTCTATGGTGAGTAGAGATCATTTCTCCTGTCCTTCAAATATTCTTGTTTTTAACCAATTATTTACATATTTATTAATTGTTGAATCGTTTTATAGTTTGAGATGATGGATCATACACTGATTGAACTGAGAGAAGATTGTTGATTAGATTAGATGATCTTTTCTCTCTGATGTTTTCCAGCTCGTCTGCCTGTTCCTGTCATCAGCAGAGACTGTTCTTCATCTTCATCTTCATCTTCATGTTCATTGGTGTGTTCAGCTGTGAATGTGGGTCATGTGACTCTCTCCTGGTATAAAGGACCCAGTTTATTGTCCAACATCAGTGTGTCTGATCTCAACATGAGTCTCTCTCTGCCTCTGGATGTGGAATATGAGGATAAAAACACCTACATCTGTGTGCTGAACAATCCATCAGCAACCAGACTCAACATCTCCACATCCCTCAACTCTGTCACACATGTTCAGGTACGGCTGATATTAGCTGACGTCAGCGCTGATATTAGCGTTTATGAACTGATCTGATCTCAGTTTGATGCTTTTACTCCTCAGACTCTGTCCACTGCTGTGGTCCTACTGAAGCTGTGATCCGATTGGTCCTCTCTGCTCTGGTGGGCGTGGCTACTGTCATTCTTGTGGTTTATGAAATCAGATCCAGAAGAGCTGAACGAGATCAAGCTCATATTCACACATCAGAAACCTAATGTGTCATTTATCAGATTTCTATTTTTGTCATTTATTAATCTTCATATATGTGTAATGGCTTTATATGCTGGCATTTACTGTATGTTTATTTTTAATGTGGTTTATTTCATAATCTGAGAACAAACAGCAACATATTTTCTCCTGAACTCATTAGTGCTCAAAGTGTTAATGTGAGTGTTTGTCATTGTAAATACTGATTCTTTACTGATCGAGTCATTCATATTTGATTGGGGACTTTAAAAATGACTTCTAATCACAGTTAAAGTCTCACATGTCTTGTGTTGTTCTTATAGTTCAGATCTCTAATACTGAAGCTCCACTAAACACACACATTTCTCTCAAAGACACAGATCTCACTTTACTAATGCTGGATTAATCTGTCATTTAATTTGCTTGCCTTCATCAATAAAGTTTTTGATTGATTTTTGATTGTTTTTGATTTGTTTTTGTAAATCAAAAGGGGCATTTTAAATGTATAATTTAGAAACGAGTTAGAAAAGGGAATATGTATAATCCACCAATGTACTCCAACCGAAGGAAATGTGATGCTGGTGTAAAGTCGGTGGTGAATCAGCACACCAAACAACACATTTGAGGAAATATAAATGGCCTACATTGAGCTTTGCAAACCCACTGTTCCTCAATTAGTAACCACAAGAAGCCATAAAAGTTGAGCCTGGACTCAAAACCCTCTTTATTTAAAATGGCGTAAAAGCTAGACCACTTGTTCTTGCTTAAATACACCTTCCCCATAAGGCTAATCTGTCGGTTCTTGACCAATCCTGTCTCCTCCAGCGGTGCGGGTGTCTGGACTGACCTCAGTGGGTGAAGGGACTCTCCTTGGCCTCACACTGCTTTGTTCACGAGTTCGCATCTACATATAATTATGATAAAGAAGATTATGCGTACTCGGCGTGCTGTCCGGGTGGAGGGACCCGAGCCCAGAGCACTCCCTCGTGGTAAGAGGAGATGGAAGTAAGAGAGAGGAGACGGGGTGGAGGTGGGATGCTGATAAACTGCCAAGGAGCAAGTGTGGGTTCTGCTGATATTGATCTTGGCCTAGATTGATTACTGATTGCTCTCCACTGGTGCTGATTGGGTTAATTAACTGCACCTGCTCCTCCCGAACCTTGTTTATCAAACCACATTTGGAGACACCATGTTCTTGTCAGCAAGTGTGAATGGTACATCTGTCTCATATGTTTCTCAAGGTCCTGAATGGTAAGGATGTCTCATATTAAATATACAATTCTTAAAGATTTTTTTATTATGAGTTTTGAATTTTGAATTATGAATTTTGAGTTATGGTATGAATTATGCAAAGGAAATGCAGCAAGAGGTCAGTGTAATCAAAGCAATCAAATAGATTATAGGCATCAAGAAGTCAAGTGTGTGTGTGTGTGTGTGTGTGTGTGTGTGTGTGTGTGTGTGTGTGTGTGTGTGTGTGTGTGTTGTTGGCTAAGTCACAGTCAATGACAGGGTTGAATTGTGAATTCTGTAATTGATTGAAGCGATCACACTTCAGATCTCTTTAGTTATGATGTTTCTGTTATTAGTGGTTTGTTGAGAAATCAGGGGCCTGACAACAATCTGAAAGTTGAAACATTCTGACATTTAATAGCAAGTCTGCCTCTGCTTTTTGATGCATTGCATTGATTTGTGACTGTAGCCATTAATATGTGTTTTCCATGAGTTTGCAGGGTGGGGTGAATCGCGTGTGTTATGTCATGGGATCCGCTTCCCATCCTAATGTGTGTGAAGCTATCCGGATCTGTGAGTGAGAAGATGCACAATAGATCTTTAGTGAAGTGACACTATTGGACTCTGTCATCTTCATCTTCTTATGATGTGTAATGTTCAGTCTCTTTTCCGGGTGATGATGCTGTGAGGGTGTTGTGATGGAGGAGTGTGTTCAGTGTTTATGTCTGGATCATTTGGAAGATGCTTTTCCAAGTTTAGATGTTGTTTCTCGTTGCTTAGTCAAACAAGGATTTCTTCAACAATGAGCTTTCCGACCCGTAACAATGCAAACAACATTTTCTCAACACTTCTCAATAGGGTAGAATACTATTATGGTAAATGTTATATATAAATCGCTAATTTTGTCACAAATTTTTGGAAATTACCACCACAAAATCAGTCATTTTGATCGCAAAAATCACAACAAAAAAAAATCGTGAAATCCTGGAGGGACTGAGAATAAGTTGACTTACCACAGTGGCAGAAGAAAGAGAAGATGTTCAAAGCTCGTGTTGATTTTAAAGGGGGGGTTGACTGCGATTTCACTTTTTTGATGTTAAATAGTGTGTAATGTTGCTGTTGGTGCATGAACAGTATCTGCAGAGTTGCAGCGCTGAAAGTTCAGTGTAAGCAGAGATATCGTCTTTTAAAATCAGGAAGTGTAAACGCCTACAAAAACGACTGGATTGGGACTACAGCTGGGTTATGGTACGTCACTAACCCACACATTTGCATCAACCCTCCCTCAGAATATGCAGAAAAGGGCATGATCATATTTCAGCGGCTCGTCGAGTGTGTTGTTCATCCAGCTGTCAGGTCTTCTGTGTTCGTCTTCCCACAGACGCTGTACTTTCATTCATGCCTTGTGTGTGCCCTGAACTCTTAAGTGACTTCTGGTTTACTTGAGTTGCAAGCCAATGTTCTGGAACAAAGAGGAAAATCTTTAACCCGACATTAAGATCTCAACGACACAGCATTTCACGGGCTGATCTGACACAGAGAAAGCAGTCCTGAGCTCTCGTAGCATTTCTTTATATATCCAGACCTTATTTGACATGGAAACATGAGTTTAGTGGAAATTTACTGTATTCCCCGTCCATACTCACTGGGGCAGAAGTTTGACCATCTGCTGGGAACAGTGGAAATCAGCATTCATCAATTTACACCTTTGGGAGTGCCGAGAGACACATTCCTTTGTGTGCCAGTTATTCCTAAACTCTTAAAAACATTATTACCTTTTGTTTTACTTCTTTGGGAATGAGACATCTATACCAGTCACCCTGAGACCTTTAAAATGATACTAAACAATCCTTAAAGATGATCATTCACATTAAAACCATATCGATTCTTGTGTGTGTGTGTGTGTGTGTGTGTGTGTGTGTGAGAGGTGTTCAAATGTTCATTTGTAAGCAATGTCCTTCGTCTCAGAGCTGGTGAGGTTGATATCTGATGACGAATGACGAAACGGCAGGTCGCTTTGGTTTATATACAGCGAGCCGGGACTCCATGGTTGGCAGCCGTGCTGTGATTGGTGCTTCCGCGATCGGACACGCCCAGGGGCGTTCCCATAGTGAGATACCTCACTTCCTGTTATCAGAGAACCGGGTTACGGCAGTAATCGAACGTTTTCAGACATTTAAGGGCTTTCCCGAGAACCCATGAATAAAGCGTTTCTGAAATTAGTTTAGTTGTGTTTGTGTTTGTGTTCGGTTGGTGAGTTTAAAAACGGGTTTTTATAAAACACGGTTTCTCCTTTTATGCAAGAGATTTAGTGTTTGTAGTCAGGGCTTGATTTATACAAAACAAAAACAACCAGTCTGTGTGTGTCTTCCCTTAATTCTCTCTCTGTGCTGATGATCCCATACAGTAACATTACAGATGAGGACGATTCATCCGCTGTTCTTCATCAGTAATGCTTACATGAGCAATAACTTTAGCTGATGCTTTCTTATCAAAGTAGCAAACTGTTGATTCAGACACTTTTCACACATGTGGATTTCCGATGAACATTTTATAATCTCGAGGAAGTCGAGTTGCACTTGTGAGAAACATCAGAGAATTATCAGATAGAAAGTCGCACGCATTTACACTTAAAGATTTGGAGATTGACTTCATGTTACTAAGAGCAGCTTCACCTCAGATCATCTGTCATTTTATTCCTGAAGCCGTTTTGAAGAGTTTGTCTTTTCATATTTGTGGACTGAAGATGTTTCGCACTGTTTTCTTCTGTCTGTGTTTCTGCCGTCTGGATGGTGAGTTTTAAATATTACTTTGGTTGTTTCTCTTCTCATGTAATAAATTACAGGTTAAATTATCCAGCGATTATTAAATGTAACTGTTATTCTCATGTAGAAATAATTGAGCTGATTTTACTGTGAGAGCAAGTTTGAATTCAGGTCTAAACTCAGTTATTAGGCAGAAAGTGGGGTCAGGACCGCCCCATCTCATGAAAGTGCGTATTTACCACACATTACATTTCTCGTGTCATTTATAGGCTGTATATTTATTTGTTATATAAAACGGAAATAGTTTTGGCGTCTGTATGATGTGCACTTTTTGCCGTGTAATACTAACACAGTCTCATCCCAAGACGTCATGTAAATTACCACTAACTGATATATGTATTCACTGTTACAGGACAGAGCTAAAATTTACTAACATCTACTAAAGATATATGGATATAATAGTTTGCACACGCTGTGCTTCTTCTGTGTGTTTATTCGATTTTGTAAATGTTAGTTAATCCACAATAACGTTTAAGAAATCTACTAAAGACAGAAAAGAAGCACAGCATGAGTTTATACAGCAACAGTCAATTCAACCTAGAACTTGTTAAAATATTAAAGATAAAGTGTCTTTTTAGTTTTTGTTCCATATATAAATCTATTTCTACTATTTCATTTTTCATCTTTTGTCTTTGTGTTGCCGAAGAATATTATTAATATCACATTTAAATGAATTAAAATTATTCTAGTGAAGCTTCATCAAACCAACATCAAGTGATTTAAAGCTTTGTGGAAAACTCTGTTCTTCAGGTGTGTTTGGTGAAGAACATGAAATTAAGTTTATGATGAAGGGAGAATCAGTCACTCTAAGCTCTGATCTCACTGAAATAAAGGATGATGATGTGATTCAGTGGAGGTTTGAAGATTATAAGACTGAAACTTTAATCGCTGAAATCAATGTAACGGCCGACAGAATCGCTGTATATGATGATGTTCTTGATGGGAGATTCAGAGACAGACTGAAGCTGAACAAACACACTGGATCTCTGACCATCATAAACATCACAACTGAACATGATGGAGAATATTCTCTACAGATCAACGGTGTGAGAAAGAGGACGATCTATATTGATATCGATTATTCCTTTGGTGAGGCTAAACACATTTGTTTCACCTGTTTTTAATGACAACATTGAAATTAATTCATTCACCATTTTGATTCTTTTTGTTTGTTTTATGATATTGTTTATTTCACACTGACATTTTAAACTATTTACTAAAACATTGTGATGTGATTTCACAGTATTATTTTGACAAACCCTGTTTGTGTTTGTTCTGTGTGTGTTTCTGATATCAGGATCAGGGACTCAGAGGTCAGCGATGAAGGGAGAATCAGTCACTCTAAACTCTGGTCTCACTGAAATAAAGAATGATGATGTGATTCAGTGGAGGTTTGAAGATTATAAGACTGAAACTTTAATCGCTGAATTCAATGTAACGGCCGACAGAATCGCTGTATATGATGATGTTCTTGATGGGAGATTCAGAGACAGACTGAAGCTGAACAAACACACTGGATCTCTGACCATCACAAACATCACAACTAAACATGCTGGAGAATATAGACGATATGATGGAAAAACTGAATACACGCGATTTCCGGACAGTAAAGTCCTTCTCGCTGTCTTTGGTTGGTTAAATATTTGTTTTACCATTTTATTTTTTAATCAAACAAAACAATATTAATCTAAACACAATTTTGTTTCTTTTCGGTTTTTGTTTTATGAAATTGTTCATTTGAAATATAAATATCAATATCTCTGCTAACTCTGTTTCTGTTTGTTGATCCAGTTGAAATATCAGTGATGGAGGGAGAATCACTCACTATAAACTCTGATCTCACTGAAATAAAGCGTTATAAATGGATTCGGTGGATATTTGGGGATGAAAACATTTTAATCGCTGAAATTAATGTAATGAACGACAGAATCGCTGTATATGATGATTATCTCGGGAGATTCAGAGACAGACTGAAGCTGAACAATCAAACTGGATCTCTGACCATCACAAACATCACAACTGAACATGCTGGAGATTATAAGATCAAATGTAGGAGAGAAGGTGACAGTTTCTCATTAAAAGCTTTCAGAGTTTCAGTCTCTGGTGAGTAGAGATCATCTCATGTCCTTCAAATATTCTTGTTTTTAACCAATTATTTACATATTTATTAATTGTTGAATCGTTTTATAGTTTGAGATGATGGATCATACACTGATTGAACTGAAAGAAGATTGTTGATTAGATTAGATGATCTTTTCTCTCTGATGTTTTCCAGCTCGTCTGCCTGTTCCTGTCATCAGCAGAGACTGTTCTTCATCTTCATCTTCATCTTCATGTTCATTGGTGTGTTCAGCTGTGAATGTGGGTCATGTGACTCTCTCCTGGTATAAAGGACCCAGTTTATTGTCCAACATCAGTGTGTCTGATCTCAACATGAGTCTCTCTCTGCCTCTGGATGTGGAATATGAGGATAAAAACACCTACATCTGTGTGCTGAACAATCCCATCAGCAACCAGACTCAACATCTCCACATCCCTCAACTCTGTCACACATGTTCAGGTACGGCTGATATTAGCTGACGTCAGCGCTGATATTAGCGTTTATGAACTGATCTGATCTCAGTTTGATGCTTTTACTCCTCAGACTCTGTCCACTGCTGTGGTCCTACTGAAGCTGCGATCCGATTGGTCCTCTCTGCTCTGGTGGGCGTGGCTACTGTCATTCTTGTGGTTTATGAAATCAGATCCAGAAGAGCTGAACGAGATCAAGCTCATATTCACACATCAGAAACCTAATGTGTCATTTATCAGATTTCTATTTTTTGTCATTTATTAATCTTCATATATGTGTAATGGCTTTATATGCTGGCATTTACTGTATGTTTATTTTTAATGTGGTTTATTTCATAATCTGAGAACAAACAGCAACATATTTTCTCCTGAACTCATTAGTGCTCAAAGTGTTAATGTGAGTGTTTGTCATTGTAAATACTGATTCTTTACTGATCGAGTCATTCATATTTGATTGGGGACTTTAAAAATGACTTCTAATCACAGTTAAAGTCTCACATGTCTTGTGTTGTTCTTATAGTTCAGATCTCTAATACTGAAGCTCCACTAAACACACACATTTCTCTCAAAGACACAGATCTCACTTTACTAATGCTGGATTAATCTGTCATTTAATTTGCTTGCCTTCATCAATAAAGTTTTTGATTGATTTTTGATTGTTTTTGATTTGTTTTTGTAAATCAAAAGGGGCATTTTAAATTTATAATTTAGAAACGAGTTGGAAAAGGGAATATGTATAATCCACCAATGTACTCCAACCGAAGGAAATGTGATGCTGGTGTAAAGTCGGTGGTGAATCAGCACACCAAACAACACATTTGAGGAAATATAAATGGCCTACATTGAGCTTTGCAAACCCACTGTTCCTCAATTAGTAACCACAAGAAGCCATAAAAGTTGAGCCTGGACTCAAAACCCTCTTTATTTAAAATGGCGTAAAAGCTAGACCACTTGTTCTTGCTTAAATGTGTGTAAGGCCTGCTAAATCGATCCAATGGCGGTACTCGATTAGAGGCGAAGGTCTCGCACGTGTTCCGACTCTTCCCACGGCAAAGGGACTTTTAATTAAATGCAATACATTTAATCTTCTGTATTAATTCGTTTCATCTGACTCCATAAAATGAAAAGGTTTTTCAATGATATCTGTGCATCAATAAATATACGTTAATGTTTGACTATTCCTTTTAGCTCTAATGAAAATAAAGTCAAAGTCTGTTAGATTAATCAAATATAACAATTTATGATGTCAGATGAATTTATTATTACAATTCCATAATCAATTGAAAGATAATCAATGCAAAGCATCAAATGTTGTGACACTTCTATATTAGGGCTAAGAAAAATACACTATTTTAGTAATACTTTATTTTACAAACGTGAAGGCGGATAAAACATTGTAAAATAAGTAAAGGTATGATTTAAGTGGTTTTTTGTATGTGGGACTTTTATGTTTGGTGCACAAATATCCTGTAGTTGGAAAAATGGACTTTTATTTTGATAGGAGGGCACCTTGTAAAGGAAGGTCTTCTTTGGTAAAAGGGAGGTCAAGCCAGAGGGAGAAAGGCATGTTTTGAACCAAACATATGGGTGATTTTAGCCTTCTCCTTGGGAGTCATTTATGGATTAATTACCCATCGAGGTTAAAGAGAAGACTTGGGTTTTTTTTGGTATTTTGGAGGATTATTATGGTTTTCTGGACATTTATGGGTCATTTCTGGGGCGCAAGGACTAAGGATTCATCCATCAGGACAATACTCCTCACACATGGACTAGGACTCCTCACACATGGATCAAGGACTCTGGGATAAGTGTTATTTTTCTTGATTTGACTGCTGTGTTATCAATATACTTTGTTGGATAATCTGTTTATGCCTTTCTTTGTCTGATTTCAAGCATTGATGCAGTTTTTCCCCTTATTCATTCATGCCTTGTGTGTGTCCTTCTGGTTTACTTGAGTTTCAAGCCAATGTTCTGGAACAAAGAGGAAAATCTTTAACCCGACATTAAGATCTCAACGACACAGCATTTCACGGGCTGATCTGACACAGAGAAAGCAGTCCTGAGCTCTCGTAGCATTTCTTTATATATCCAGACCTTATTTGACATGGAAACATGAGTTTAGTGGAAATTTACTGTATTCCCCGTCCATACTCACTGGGGCAGAAGTTTGACCATCTGCTGGGAACAGTGGAAATCAGCATTCATCAATTTACACCTTTGGGAGTGCCGAGAGACACATTCCTTTGTGTGCCAGTTATTCCTAAACTCTTAAAAACATTATTACCTTTTGTTTTACTTCTTTGGGAATGAGACATCTATACCAGTCACCCTGAGACCTTTAAAATGATACTAAACAATCCTTAAAGATGATCATTCACATTAAAACCATATCGATTCTTGTGAGTGTGTGTGTGTGTGTGTGTGTGTGTGTGTGTGTGTGTGAAAGGTGTTCAAATGTTCATTTGTAAGCAATGTCCTTCGTCTCAGAGCTGGTGAGGTTGATATCTGATGACGAATGACGAAACGGCAGGTCGCTTTGGTTTATATACAGCGAGCCGGGACTCCATGGTTGGCAGTCGTGCTGTGATTGGTGCTTCCGCGATCGGACACGCCCAGGGGCGTTCCCATAGTGAGATACCTCACTTCCTGTTATCAGAAAACCGGGTTACGGCAGTAATCGAACGTTTTCAGACATTTAAGGGCTTTCCCGAGAACCCATGAATAAAGCGTTTCTGAAATTAGTTTAGTAAAACACGGTTTCTCCTTTTATGCAAGAGATTTAGTGTTTGTAGTCAGGGCTTGATTTATAAAAAATAAAATAAAAAAGCATCTGTAGAGTTAAGTGATTCTAACTTAACTAATAACACGGAGAGAGGTTTTCCACAAGTGCTCTCATAGCATGACTTTATTGAAGTCCCTTTTTCCAGCCCCTTTTCAACGTCACTTCCTCTCCTCTAAAACCTCTTAACACCACATCCCCCTTTCTAAGATCAGTTGTACTGATATAACACTCAAGATTAAACTAACACCTCTATACAGTACAGACTATATCCAAACGTTAACTGTCTCTTATGAACAATAAACATATGAACGTTAACTGAATATCTGAACTAAGAAGGTGGGGTAGACTGCCCAATCCTTCTACTGAATGTGGGGGTTTATTCTGCCCTGTAGAAATCCCTCAGTCTCACCCTGGTACCTGCTATATGACCACAAAGTCCTTCAGGTACCCCGGAGGACGTCTTTCTCTTGCAGGGTAGCGTGCTGGAGGCTCAGGACTGCATGGCTGAACTGGGCCCTGCTCTGCATGATCTGGCCCAACTGGCTGACCAGAAAGTTGCTCTGGCTCTGGTAGGATGGTCTGCGCTGCTGGCGCCACTGGCGTAGAGACGAGGTGGTTTCGCTTGCGGCGCAGATTCCCTCTGGGAGTGTCAATGACATATGACCTTGGTGCTTCCGCCTGTCTTATCACTGTCCCCTTTTCCTTTGTGTCCTTTACCCAGACATGGTCGCCTGGTGTCAGTCTTTTGAGATGTTGAGATCTGTGTCTTTTGTTGAAGTTCCAGCTCAATCTCTGTCTCTTCTTCTGTTCCTCCTCTTTCAGTTTAGTTATGTCAGTCCAGCCTGGGTTGAGAGATGACAGAGTGACTGGAACCGTTGTTCTGATCTGCCGGCCCATTAACAAGTCAAGCCATGAGTGCCAGATACGGGTCTTTCCCTTTCTGGAGGAGGCCCTTAACTGTCCGTACGGCACGCTCTGCCTCTCCATTGCTCTGCGCATATCTGGGGCTGGACGTTGTGTGTGTGTGTGTGTAAACCCCCACTGTGTTGCAAACTGAGTGAAGCATTCAGATGAGAACTGGGGTCCATTATCTGTCATGACCTCGGACAGTATGCCATGCCTGGCGAAGATAGACTTGCAATGTTCCACTACTGCTAATGAGGTTGTTGATGTGAGTTTAGCTCCCTCAATGAAACGGGAAAAGTAGTCTACCACCAATAGATACTGGTTCTTGTTCCACTGAAACAAGTCAGCACCCACTTTTTCCCATGGTCTATCAGGGAATTCTGTAGGCAGCAATGGCTCTTTGGGGTTTTGCACATGTGTCGCAGCCCTCAACCACTTTCTGAAGCTGTGTACACAGACCCGGCCACCAGACAGATTGTTTGGCTCTTTCACGGCACTTTACAATACCTTGGTGTCCTGTGTGCAGTTTCTGAAGGATGTCAGTCTGTAGCAGCTTTGGAATAACTATCCTACACCCTTTCAGTAATAAGCCGTTCTCCACTGATAGCTCTTCCTCGACATGTGCGTACGGTAGGTAAGCTCTGTCTATTGTGGATCTGTCTGGCCAGCCCTTAGCACAGTACATCTTCACTTGGCTCAGTATTTCATCCTGTTCTTGGTGTTCCCTTATTTCTTGTAGCCTCTTTTCTGTAGCTGGGAGGTTTGAGATGATCATGTTTACATACAGGTTGATTTCCTCCTCCTGCTCCGGCTGCCCTCTGTCTCTCAACGGCGACCTTGACAG